AGATCTTTTCCTCTGAATGGAGCATTCAGCATCTGCACAGCCCTGGCACAGCAGCGGCGAGCAATGATTCAGCAAAGGCCGGTGGATCTGCTGACTGCCGCCCTGCTTCCCGCTGACCTGCCAGAGCCTGACCTGTCAGAGCCGGGGCTCTTCCGCACAAAGGAAGGGCCGGGTGTTTTTTGGAGAAGCTGACGACCTCGCTGTGTGAGCTTTCAAGAAGGTCTTTAACGCTGCGCTGCTCACAGCCGGGCAGGGACAGCGCCCGTTCCCACTGAGCTCCACGCATGGCAGGATTCAGCCGTCTCGGAGCTAAAGGAGTGGAAGTGGGCTTGGGAGGATGTAGCCATTAATTTTTCAGAGCCAAGAGAAAAAGGGCTGTCTTTTCTGTTCTAAGGAAGAAAGCATCACCACAAGCCACAGAGATCCAGCAAAAAAACACTGAATGGGACTCTGAGAGCTCCTGAAACCTGGCTGCAGCTTACAAAACACCCCGGACGCTCATTCACACGGACACGGTGATTTTGGGGGCTGATGCACAGTTTGCTAGGAGGAGCTGAAGCATCTCCCAGCAGACGAAGCACAACGTCCTCCCGCTGCGCCTGCAGTCGCTCTACGCCTGAACCAAAAGTGATGGAGAACCAAAACTCCTCCGACCGGCGCGAGCCGAGGGGCAGGGAGGGGGATCCAGCTTCCACTCGGTTCCCACTGCATCTCGCTTTTAGCTTTTAGCCCACTCAACAGATGCCTTTCTCCCAAGCGCTGCCCCTCACGTGCGGCTCGGGAAGCGTTCCCTACAGCTCACCCCTCGAGGCTCGGCAGGGCTGAGACTTAAACCCCTTACAATAGGGCTGATGAAATGTCATCAGCACCAGATAAGCAAATAACATTAGGCACACAAAGCGATTTGATGGGTAAGTACGAGTGAGCCGTCACCGCCGTCTCTAAGCTGCAAAGCTCTCCCAACAGAATTTAAAATACACAGCCCATATCGTCACACATAACAGTCCCACTCACCAGGAACGGCGTCCATAAGGACATTTTATGCCTCTGCAATGGATGCTGAACTTCATTCTCTCCATCCTTCATCCACTGCAGCACTGCTCACTCAGAGCCCTCCTGATGGTGCACACAGTTTTGGGACAGATGTGTCCGGTTGAAGCCACGAAGCAAAACTGAACTGTCCATATGCAAACCCTTTCTTATTCTAGAGGGAAAGTCTCAGCTTTGCTTCGGGTTTTCGCTCAGGTAATAAATTCATTATGACTAAAGAGTATTTAAACCTTATTAAAACTGCATTTTTTAGATTAAGACTTTTTAAACAAAGACAGCCTGAAAATTGCACATCTAAAAAAACTACTTTGCATTTTGAAAAAAAAATTATCATCATCATAATCCTATTTGTTCTTCAGATGGGGGAAGGGGAAATCCCTCTTGGGGGAAAAAAACATCACATTAAGGGGGAAAAATGTTCTGAAACACTGTATAAACAACCCCACCTTGAAGCAATCGCTCAGTGATGAATAATTACAGCAAGGATAGCTGCGCAGAGATAAACTTCGGAGGTACCTTCTGGTGACAGATAAAGCACAAACCCTCCTAAGAATCTTATCCTTTTCCAGCAGAACTATTCCTGTTAACCAGGGACACTATCTGAAAAGCACCAGCCCATCCCATAATTAACAGCTCCTCCAAACGTCACGTTTATCAAAGCCACAGCCCCCTTTGGAGAGAAGGGGCGCACGGAGCAGTCAGTTTGAATTGTGCAACAAGACACACACAAGGAGGCAAAGTTTTTGACGGCAGGAGCAGAAGAAAGGTGGAAACCAGTGCCTCTGGGCTTTGCTCTGTGTGTGCAACCCTGTTAGGGCCATGAGCACAAATCCAGTTTGTCTGAGAGGTGAGAGCTTGGCCATCTCCTGCCACCAAACACGGCTGTTTTGCCATTCACATCGTCTTCCCAGTGATAAAGGATTACAAAACAGTGGTCTCCAAGCCTCCAGCAGGTTTGAGAGTTGAGTATTGCCATCCTCACTCTCAGACCTGTGTAACCTGAAGAGGAGCAGATACCCCAGTTTGCTGTAACCGGTGTGTGTGGATCCATCGGCGGAGCAGAGGGAGCACAGGGCAACTCCAGCTTCACTGTACTTGGCACTGGTGAGGCCGCACCTCGAGTCCTGTGTTCAGTTGTGGGCCCCTCACTAGAAGAAGGATGTTGAGATTCTAGAGTGAGTTCAGAGAAGAGCCACAAGGATGGGGAGGGCTCTGGAGAACAAGCCTGATGAGGAGCGGCTGAGGGAACTGGGCTTGTTCAGCCTGGAGAAGAGAAGGCTGAGGGGAGACCTCATCACCACCTACAACTGCCTCAAGGGAGCTTGGAGAGAGGTGGGTGCTGGGCTCTTCTCCCAGGTGATGGGGGATAGAACAAGGGGAAACGGCACCAAGCTGTGCCAAGGGAGGTTCAGGTCAGAGATAAGGAAGAAGTTCTTTACTGAGAGGGTCGTCAGAAGCTGGACCAGGCTGCCCAGGGAGGTGGTGGAGTCACCATCCCTGGATGTGTTTAAAGAGCAGGTAGATGAGGTACTTAGGGATATGGTTTAGGGGGTAGACAGGAACGGTTGGACGTGATGATCTCAGAGGGCTTTTCCAACCGAGCGATTCTGTGTGATTCACTTCAGTACCGGGCCAGCAAAGCTCAACGTTGCGGTAATCAGGAGCGACTCTCAAGCAATTGAGCAGCATTTCAGGGCTGAAGCCAGCCCCAGAGCAGTCCCTGCGGGTCTGTGTTGTACAAAACGTTAGGGACTAAAAGCCAAAATAGCAATTTACACTGCAAAGAGCCCAAAGCACGCAGGACCACGTAGCCAGTAAGGAAAAGCCTTAAGTGAAAAGAAGCAAACCTTTAACAGCCAGCGACAGCACTGAAGGTTTGGTCAGGAAGTGAAAGCTGTTGGCTCAAGGTCCACAAGACACTTAAAGAGGGAAAAAGTCTAATTTTCCTTGTGGAATTCAGCACGGATACTGAATGCAACATCACTCCTCTCAGAGGAGGGTGCAGAGACCTGACAGTAAAGCCTATCAGCTTTATGTGCTGGTTCTCACACTGTCTGCAAAACCACGCTCCGCCTTCTGTCCACCACCCACCAAGGTCTCCGTGCCAGCCCTCGCCTCATTCGCAAGGTGCAACGATCGCGAGTCAAACACCAGAGCCACAGCCCTGGCACCATCCTGCATTCACACCCAGGAGAACAGAGCCAGAAATCAAAGCGCTGCTCTTCTTCCACTGCCTGTTCTGCAAATTTATTTTCTACCTAAGTTCGTTAGGCTGGAAGGCATCAATAAAAGGGCTTGGTCTGGTCTGCTGCAGAAGTAAAAGCACAGCTGGGATGGCACTGCTTCAAGCAAAGCCAATTGCTCAATTCATGGCAACCTCCCGCCCCAGCACAACCCACACACGCAAAAACTGGTCCAAACGAAACAACCACTGCATCCTTCCTCCAGGAGGAACTGTAACAACGGCTACAAACTATTCCATGAAGATTGAGGAGAACGGGGAAGGCCTATGCAAACTGGGATTAAAAACGAAAACTAAATCACTAAATGCACTAAATACATGAGAATTTCCCGGCTAGAAAAGTC